TTTTAAAATGTATTCATACACGTACTTTTAACGTCGTAAATAACTTTAAAAAGTCAGTGAAAAACCCAAAATCGCAAGTGTGAGGTGATACGCGTGATTTCGTATCAATACTTTAAAACGATGTTTGTTGACTTATTTCATTTGCAATGTTAACATTGTTACTCATTCCTTGTCTTTGATCTTGACTCAGAACGCTCTCGAAGTTGCGCAGTTGGAAAGGATAAAACATGCCTCATTAATAACGTTCGTCTTAGTTGGCGTTGTCATAGCGTACACCAAGCTATAAAAAATGGACAAGACATCCGTAACAACCTTTGTTGTTGTAATTCTTTATAAGAGCTAGTGGCTACTGTTGAGTTACTTTCTGCAATAAACGAGTTGACGTTGAATTGCGTTTTAAGTTGGCATCTAACTGCCTGGTTAAATAATTTGGCTTTACACCTTCTCTCTGCGTCATATCACCTATGTTGAAATCACTCATTTCGGCTTGAAATACGACAGAACATCAGAGAGAGATTAAAACGCTCTTCTACAAATTAGCCTTGCCTATGATATTGACATATTCCCTATGCATTAAATTGAAATTAGTTCGCCGACGTTTAGAATTTTTAATCTTTTACTGAGTGCCTATTTGTTAACGCACATAGGACAGAAAACCTTTTACTGGCATTGGAACACCCCTTATATTCTAGCAGGTTTATTATTAGGAATTTAATCTAAGGGCATGTGTAGCTAGTCTTGGTGAAAATTCCTACAGAGCAAAAAAGCTACTAATTTATAAATATTGAAGATCAGAGTATAGAAATTTGTGGAACATCACAGACAGCTGCAAGCGCGTTTTAGTAATAGCTGATTGTCCCAAAATCCCCGAAACCAAGAAGACCACTGCAGCTCTTTATGCACTGTTGTGTTTGACGATGCAACTATTAGTAGGCTTCTAATGGCACTTGTACTGAGGTCGTTTCGGGAACTGTTACCCATGAGAGGCTAAATAAGGTACGAACGACATGATGAAAGGTTAGCTTCGGAGTATATGCGATCAATGATGTAGGTAAGTCAGGTATTTTCATTAACTCTATCCTATGCGGGCGATCTTTCGGGGCAGGTCTGTCGGAATTATTACTAGTTAAAAACGGACTACTTGTAATTTTGTTTAAAGTAAGTTTATAAACTTAAGAAACATTGTATTGCGCCTGCCAAGTTGTTTTAAGCAAACATGTTCATAATTGTTCAGTATATAGTGGTCGATCCAAATTTTATGAACTTAGTTGTACAGTTTGCGTTAGTTCAAAAAATATCACAATAAATTATGAATATCAGTGTGATCATCGACTGCATAGGGAAGAAAATGTCTGAAGTGTTTTATGGCATTCTCGTTCAGTAGGCGACACTATTATTGTATTTGAAGTGAGGGTGGATTTGGGCGAATTAATAATTTGTAAATATTTAACGCTATTTTCTACGCAAGTTTTATAATAAACACGACGTGCAGTTTTTCATTTTTAGACAACATAGTGCATGTGTATGGAAGTAAAACAGCTGCATGTGACAAACGCGCAGAGTGTATTCTCTTCTGGTAGCACGTATTAGTCGCGATTACGAAGTTCCCTAGTCGACTGCCACCGTCGCTGGGAAAAGGCTTTTTGTCGTTACGTACATCAAGCTCATAGATGAATAGTTCAAAGGCCACGTAATTAAATTCAACATTCATTTTATCGACGTATTTATCCTAAAAAGCGAAATGCCGCACTAGGTTTCTTACACGTAATTCACGATCTATGGTTAAGTAGTATTTAGTATCCGATGCGCTATGTAAGAGCTTTCAAGTAAAACGGTCAACTTCAGTTGGCCAAGTGACGATTGAGATCCCTCAAGACAACCAAAGACTTACCCAATGAATAAACAATGGCAAGCAGGTAAGGTCACAACATGCGTTCAAAAAAATGCAGTCATTCATTTCATTTCATTGCTCTGTTCTCACCGACACAACTAGAGTTCTTTGGAATGTCAATTTAAAGTAACGCACTGGCTTGATTAGTCTTTTCCAGGCCTACACACCAGTATGCGTTATTTAAATATTGAAGCTAGACATTTAAGGAATGAATGGGGGAAGACATATGAACAATGCACAGAGGGACATAAAGGAAGGGGATTAGCGAATGTCCTGGGACCATAGCGCGGAGGTAAGCGAGTAATGTGACAACTTTTTTGCCGTGGAATGGGAGCTGCGTGGTACCACGGCATGCGTGGTCCAGTATCTGTCAGTAAGGTGCTTAGATAAACTTAGATCACGGCCGCCAAGGGTTCAAAAACGATTTAAGTGAGTGCATATGAAGGACGTTGTTCGCCAAGATCGTAATTCCGGTCGACTTACTGTGCTTCATAACACAACCGACAAAGAGAATTTAACTTTCACATGATAAACAGTGTAATAGAATAGGACACTAGTGCAGATTAACTGAATCGTACCGAAACTAAGTTCTACAAGGCGGTATTCAAGTAGCTTTTTGTAAGGTCATATACACTTTTGAACAGCATGACCTGCCCCAGGGAGTGCGTTGAAGGGTGTGTGGACGTTAGTGAGAAACGAAATGTAGCCATTCCTTGTAGTTTGTGTATTAATGTTAACTACTAAAAATCCTAGTTTTCAGCATTAGCGAACAATATTTACGACGGCATTTCAACGATGTATGATGAATTCTGTTAATTAATCCAATTAGAACGAACTCCAGAGGACAGGTTGCTTTTCCATCACTTTGTATATCCGTGCTATGCGCAGTTCCGAATAAATTTATCGGCGTATTCTTTGTCTCACATGATAGGTCACGTGGAGCAAACGTCTACTAACGTATTACTGAGGTGCACCAACCGGGTGCTGCGGAATGAACACGGAGATAACTATCAACTTGCCTCTTAAGGCGGCAGGCTCTCGACAGCTGACATAAACTGCCCGGCACCAGCCAACCGTCCTCTCTCGTAAGGCCGCTGTCTTGTTGCCCCGTAGAACATCACGATCCTCCTGGGAATAAACGTCACATACCTTCCCATGCCTTCCAGGTCGTATCGGTTGCCAATTCCACCAAAAAGCGATATGAGGATCATCACTTATAAACTCATGTTTACACAAAGAACCTGAGGCAAAAATTTAATGCGTAGGTCCCAGAAAGTGGGATGCGAAGCACCAAATGTTGGTGTATGAAGTAAACTTTCTAACAACAGCGTAGACACGGCCATTATTAGTAAAACCTTATTGCAGCAAGGAGAAATTAGTGCAGTGTACACAGGTTTGACAGTAGCAGACGTGCCGTCTGGCTAATAACCAACCGTTCACAAGTCATGTTGCTACTTTCTTGACCAGGAACCTCCGTATGGAATTAGACGACTGGTGAGCATCACTACAAGGAGGCTGACGTCAAATTCAAGAAAGCACTGGACGTTTTTAGGCACAGAATTAAGCCAACGTCGCTTCAGTTCCCGAGTGTGGCTTTGTTTCCACAGAGTGCGCAGAATTCGAAATGAACAAACCGTTGAGAAGAAAATTTGGTTATCCTATTTCCCCACGTGTGCATAGGGGCCCTTCTAATGTCATAAATAATACAACACACGTTGGCGAAGGGCCGATGATTGCAAACGCTATTGACATATGCTATTTTAGAGTGATTACTTGAGTGATGTTTTCTAACAAGAGTCCAAAATGGTGTTTGCTGGCTTATTTCGATTGCATGATTAAAACCATTATTTACACTTCGGCTTGGATTCTAGCACAAAATGCAGCACGGTTGGATAGCGGTATGGAGCAGATAATGAAACCATACGGTAGCGGTAGGTTGTATAACCCCAGGCCCGTGTAGTTCGGGGATAGTGGTAATAGCGGTTTTACGGGTGGGACATAACCGCGCGCGGGAATATAGCAGAACAAAAAACTAAGTAGATTTCCGTTGAAATTTTCTCCTTCCCTCATAGATAGCGACGGAATTGAGCCCGCTAACTAAAAAAATAAAAAAAGCAACTGAAAATAACTAAATGGTATTTGAATAAGCCTTGCAAATTCGAAGCAGGACAAGAACAACAGAACAAACGACTAACAGGACTGAAGAACAGTAAGCGTCAAATAGGACAGCTGTGAAGATCTACTGCGAAGTAACTTAATGCAGATAAGCGTTAGATGAGGTATGAAATTACACCCTAATGAATGCAGATAAAGTCAAATATCATAAGTAGAAATGCGCGTTTGTATCTATATGATAAGGCAACCCAGTAAAGTAATATGCCAATTTAGGAAAAATAAAAATACGCAGGTAAATTTAATATGCAATAATGAAAATGAATTAATAATCACTGTGGACAATTATTTTTTTTCTCAAAATACAGACCAGCGGCTCCAGCTCGCACGAAAGTAAGACAACCACAGCTTGATTTTCTGAGGAAATCGGAAGAAGTGACCGAAGCTGTAAATTCTGAGAACGTAGTTGAATACTACCAATCAAGGAGACCTCTACTAAGTGTGGCAAAATGCCAATGTGGACGCCAAATGTATTAGCAAATTTTGAGACTACACATCGACAGATATGTATTTCGGTGTGGCCGATGTCAAAAGAGGCAAGCGCTAACATACTACTTTATTTCCAAAAGCAGCAGGCTAATCATCAGGACAATAATGAAAATATGGCTGGCCATTACAATGGGCATCAGAGTGAAAAAAGTGCAGAGGATATCGGCATTTGTCATACATCAGCAGTAGAATGGTATGCACTTTGTCGGAATGTCTGCCTTCCGCTTTAGTTAACGAAAGAAACCAGATTGGCGGTCCCACCGTAGAAGTGCAACTTGGTGAAACGCAGATCAGCAGATGGAAATATAATATTGGAAGACACAGAAGGCTTGCAAGCTGGCTATTTCAGAGGCTAAGATTCCTAACTGCAGGCTCACAAACAACGGTGCACTCAGCAGAACAATTCCTTGACAAAATAAGGGCAGTCACGATCGAACCGAATGAAAGGATGGTGTCTTTTGACGTAGTCTCACTCTTCACGTCCATACCACAGGCCCTTGCGGTCGAAACGCTCAGTGACCTGCTACGTCAAAATTACGACGGGGGCGATGGCCAGCCCACAGCTCAGGGTCTCATAGAACTCATGGTGCACTGCCTCAAGACATTCTTTACCTTCGAAGGGACCACATACGAGCAGATCAAGGGCACTCCAATGGGTTCACCAATCTCCGGGCTCATTGCCAAGGCGGTTCGACAAAAAAACCTCGAGCGACGACTATTCGAGGAGTACAAACCCAAGTTTTGGGCACGCTACGTTGATGACACCGTCGTAATCATAGACCAGGATAAAATCAACTACTATGCGGAAGTACTGAACTCAATCATGCCCGATCTACAGTTCACGATGGAAGAGGAACTAGAGGACAAACTTCCATTCTTGGATGTTCTCGTCTGCCGCCAACCAAATGGCGAACTAGCAACGTCGGTCTACAGAAAACCGACGAACACGCTGCAAATTCTCAGCTACAACAGCAACCACCCGCCACAACACAAACGAAGCTGTGTCCGCACGCTGTACCGACGGATGGAAACTCATTGCAGCACGCCAGCCGCCAAACTGGACGAGATAAAGCTCCTCTGAGAACTTCTCAGAGCCAATGGCTATCCGCGGGCATTCATTGAACGAAGCCAGAGGCAGCCAAAGAAACGGAACGAAGAGCATAGTCAGCCAAACTCGTGGCGGAGCATTCCGTACATTAAAGGGGTCTCCGAAGTCGTGGCTCCATCACTCGCACCACTCGGAATAGGTGTTGCCCACAGGCCTGACTCAACAATCCGCCGGCAAGTGATGCAGCCGAAAGATCCGATCCCTAAGCAGGAGATGTCGGCCGTTGTCTACCGACTTCAATGCAGTTGCGGAAGTTGCAACTACGTTGGGGAAACCAGCCGACGGCTGCAAACGCGAATGCACGAGCATAAGTTGGCCGCGCGAGGGTTGGACCCAAAGTCGGAGGTAGCAACCGATGCCGCGCAAATGGGACACATCTTCAACTTTGACGGCGTTGAGATTGTGGGCCGGGGCAGCGATCATACAGCAAGGCAAGTGCAAGAAGCCTGGATGTCCACCGACCGCTCTGTCAACCGCCACATCAATTTGACTCCCCCCTATCTGACTTTACGAACCTTCTTAGCGGGGGACAGTCACGGCGCGGGACAATCGGGGCCGTCAGTCATCACCGCGGCCGACGGGGGCGATTCAGGTCACGGTGACATGCGGGTTGGATGCAGCCACACAGGCGGCATTGGCGGATCACGCATTGGACAAAGGGCGCCATAATAAGGAGTGCTCTGCACAGGACATCCCAGTTCCTGAAGATGGGTAGACGAATAAACTACCCGAAACGTCGCATCTCAAATAAACCCCTCCCGGTGAACGCCCCTCTTCTTTTGACACAGAAGGCAATTTTGGCTCTTTGGCATGTATGATACCACATGAGAGAAAGCACTGTTAAAACAAATAAATGAAAGAAGCTGTCCAACCCTCAGATCTTTCATTATGAAAGGGCGTCCTAAAGAAGCATTATAGTGACCGATGAATGAAAGGGCTGCATGCGCCTCAGACTAAAGTCTGTGTGTAATGTACAGCCAAGCATATAAATCAAATCAATGATCTGCCTACAGCAAGGCACATCAATTAGAGCAGACCAGTGTCTGGTCGGGCAATATGGGTCCATGTAGACGGAATTCAATATCGTCTGTGGTTAGGCAAAGACAGCGTGAGTCTAAGGCAAGATTCGGAAATATTCTTTTTGCAAAAACATATCGGGTGCAACAGCGTCTCGAAAGGGGGGTCTGAAGGACTCATTTCTGAAGGCGATTTAACGACCACTTGCAAGTATATTTCTACACATAAACGCAACTAAATTTAATTGTCTTACTAATGGTTATGTGAGGTAGTGCGCTCAAGTATTCTTAAAAAGTAAATAAGCCACGCCATACATGTTCAAAAACAAAAGCATTTGGAGATATCGAGGAAGCAGTGCGTCTGCGTTCTGACTGAGGAGAGGTAAACCAACATGCAGACGATGATCCTCACAGCACGCGTTGTATGGTGCGTACTGACATAAGACAAAATGATTTAATTGCTCTTTTTGGATAAATAAGTAAGGCGCGGCATACGAAGCCAACGCGAAACGCAACGCAGACATATCGGGTCGTACTAAAACACTCGGGGCATGTGCGTTTATTAATGCGCTGGATAACACGTAGAGATATATGTAGTATGTAGTTATACATTTCAAACTCAGTTGGGTTACACAACCTATCCCCACGTTCTATGTAGTTAGGGAGAAAGGATGTCTGACTGATTATTTCCGGTCTAGTTGTCATTGTCAGACAATCATCACAACCACAGAACATGCGTATCATTAGCTGAACATGCTTTAACTTGACTTTCGATTCACTGTGGGATGGTAATGTGCGTTAAGAAGTAGAATTTGGTTGCAACCGGAGTATCTTTGAAT